GATATTCTTTCTTTAACCCACTATAGTCGTTCCGTTCCTGACTGCCATAAACCAGAGACATATTAAGCAGAACTTTATATAAAATTACACTCTGTTGTGCACTTAAACCATTTGTCTCAATGAGGATATAGTTGTAAAATACATTAATTTTAATTATTTGTACAAATCATGCCAAAACAGGAAGCATTACAAATATTTATATTACAAATATGTACAAACAGAAAAATAATTTATATTTATTTTACAGATATGTCTTCAGTTCTTGTACTTTTGGGTAAGAGGATTCAAATAACTTTACTCCTTAGATCATCATAGTGACCTAGGTTCATGGCAATTTATTATTTATTTATTTATTTATTTTTTAGCTAAAGGTCAGAAAAACTAGAGATTATAAGTCTAGACTGTAAATCTGACTTAACCTATCTAAGGCTTATTTTTCTCATCTCTGAAATGGAGATAAGCCAATGACACAGAACTATTGTTAGCATTTGAAATTTAAGCATATACCATGTTTAATACAGTATACATAATCAGTGCTCAAAAACAGCAACTACTATTATCAGCATTTTTAACTAATTCTGAAACATAATTTGGTAAATTCTATTGATATTCAGTTAGTTTTCGATAACTAAAACTAATCAACTAACTCGGGCGACATTCAGCAGCTGGATACAAACAGAAGACTTTGCACAAATAATAACGTTTGACACCTGCATCTACACATATCAATAGTTACAGTTAAAAGCAATGGGAAGTATTAAACAATATGGATTGGGATTCTCTTGGAGTGAGGGCTGAGGTGGTGTTCCCATGAGAATCCCAGCACCACAAAGCTTATTGAACTGAAGGAGGAAGCTTCCATCAGGTTGCATGGACATTCTATGCTCTTTCAATCAACAGAGACACGGAATACCTTTATAAAATGCGCACATGGGCATATACCCCCAGAGATTAATTGAGAGAGTTGGCTTATCTATTCCAGCAAGTGTTAAATTGCATTTTCTTTTTCTCCAGAACTATCAATAGGTTTCTTTTTTTCAGATTGAATACATAAATCAAAAGAACATATTTCATGAACAAACTGTGATTATGAAACCCCTATTCTTCATCTATTGATTCCTAAAACTTGATTTACCATGCATTCTTTCCTTCATTGTATTAGATTAGAACTGCTCTTTTTCACCTCACGGTGGCTAGAACCATCTTTGGCTCTTGAACTGTCAATGTATCAAGGAGCCTTCGAAAGAGCATAGAAAATGCGTGCAACCCCACTGCTAACCCATGTCTTGTTTCCATGGTTGTACTACTTTGTTAGTTGAAAATTATAAATTGTTTTACTGTATTTCAGCATAATTACTACAAGGGTTACTATACTAATGATCCTTTCATGCTCTTTGTCCTATAAAATGTATAGAACTGCTTAAGGGAAAACCGTCTTTCCGTAAGAAAGTCTGAGCTTTGACTTTTAAATGATAGGCCCCTAAATGTGAATACACTTCCAAGTTATTCTACCTCCCAACCAATAACAAACTGCTGAAGTAAAACTCTTTTATGTATTTCAAAACTTCTTTTTGAGAAAGAAAATCAAAAGAGATCTCTTACAATAACTATAAGCACGTGCTGATTCGATATGAAAACCAAGCTTTAAAAAATCTGCTAATGTTATCAGTGTTCCCCATTTGATAATAAAAAGTCTGAATGATTTTTTCCAGTTTTAGTACAAAAAATATGACATAACGAATTTCAGCTTGATATAATTTGAAATAGCCAATATATTAAACCCCAAAGTGAAATTTAAATTGGCAATCGTGTCAGATTCAAGTCCCTGAATGAATATTAATTTAAAAACTAATCATTTTCCAACAGGTTGAAGCTTCAAAATGCTAGTTCTTGAATAAAAGCTGTTAGATCCATTACTATGACATCGGGCATCTTTTGTTTAAGAAACTAGACCTCCAATGTTCAGTATGTCTGGCTCTTCCTGGCATCTTTTTTGCCCAGGGATTTAATTATTTAAAACTCATTTCTTTTTCCTGAATTTGGGAAATTAAAATTCTTATTTTACTGATGGAAAGCTGATACTCAGTGAACTGTCTGAGGTAAGGTGTAAGGTCAGATCTGTTAATTAATTTTATGTCATAGCCATTTGTTAAGTTAAATTCTGGTTTCTGAGCAAATTTTATAAGTAAAGCTATATGTTTTACTTTTACACACACACATGCACGCATATGCATGCACACCCCATATAAATACACTGATGTGTGGCCATATTGGAGGATGAGTAAAAATATGCATTCACATTAATTAGACTTGCAATTTGAAATGAGACTAAACCAGATTATCAGTTATGCGTTCTATCCTATGCCCGGCATGATGGAAGTCTCTAATCCTCAAATCAAACAGAATTTGGATGTACGATATAGTAATGCAACAATAAGTTGCATTTTATATTAAAATATGTTCTTTGCAGTTATACAGTGAAAGAGTTGCAAGCTACATTTGTCTCAATATTGGCCAGAAAATCTACTGAAAATGTTTCTGTATGAATACCAGACAGCATGGGGAAGCAGAAAGAAGCACAAGCTTTATGGTCAGCTCACAGAGCTGGCTCTATCACTTACCATCCAGACAACCCTACAAAACTCAAGCGATTTCTAAACTTCAACTGTGCCTCCCCCCACACTCCACTTACATTTTTATGTGACTTCAGAAGGAAGTCAAGGAAGCCTCCTTTGTCACCTAGTTCAAACCTCTTTTTACATAAGTAAGGAAACTAAGTCAAATGGTTCCGTTAAAACTACAGAGTAGCGTTACCTGAATAAATTATCCCTACATCTGATCTCTTGTCCTTCCCCCTACTTTATAGCAACCTTTAAAGAATGAGCACATTCCTTTTAAGACATCTATAAAATGAATTATTACAAATTTCATAGTATCTTCAATGTATTCAGGCTGGTGTCCAATTTAAAGGAACCCTATGCAGATCTCCAATTTAGAATAAATAATTACTAACTTTCCTTTGAATGAATCCAGATTCTCATAGTGCTGGGTTGTCCCCAAATGCACCAAGAAAGCTAGGTGAACAAATGACCGATCTATACTGTTTTCCTAATGTTTTAGGATTGTTCCATCCTTTTAACTTGCAATGTAGAATGGCGGAAAACTTATGTAAAAATAAATTTTAAAAAGTAGTACACAAATTGGAAAGGACAAGTTTTCTCTTGATAGTCCAACAGATATGAAATAAAGCAGCCTCATTAAATCATAATTACTTTAACCTTTTCTTGAAAGAAGGGAAAGTTTTAAAGATTTATAAAGAAATTTTTGCCTAAACTAGGAAATGACTCATATTTGACATGTATTGAAATGATAATGCTGATTTCAATAGGCGCTCGAAGAGCATTTTACTCCCGGGAGAGTAATTCAGTTGTGGTTACCTTTTCACATTTGGATTTTAAACTTTCTTTTGTAAAGCTTTTAATGTATTACTATCTGCCAAAACATGGCACAGTTTCACAGATAAGGCAAAATAAAGAGAAGTAAAAAACACTTTTTATCATTGTTGATACAAAAATATGCAACAAACGTTACCTATGTGACATCTTCTGCAGATTCCCTCTCTTCAACAGTTTCTATTTCCATATTTTTAACATTATAACCTAATTCTGCTACACTGGTCACTGGGTGGGATGGACAATTTCCAGATACAGAATAAATTAGTCCCCTATCTGTAACTACTGGAAAATGAGAGATAAGCACAACCATATTAAACTCATCATGTGCTATACACAGGGCCTTAAAACAAGACGTGAGTTACCCTTTTATAGCGCCTTTCAAACCTAGTGCTATGGAAATGTTGCTCACTGCCAACTGCATTTGATAAACTCATATCCTAAGTAAAAGCTGAGTAAATAAGGCCAAACACACTGGATATGCCTCTGCCAATACCTTCCTATAGAAATCAGTCATTGTCACCTCTCTGCACTCATATTTTAAATTTTCTTCCTAAGGCTTTTAATGTACTACTATGCCAAGACATGGAATTTCAGTTACAATCAGGCAAAACAAGGATATGTACAAAGTGTATTGAAATCCTCAAGAATGTTATCTGTGCTGAAATAAACTTTAAAACCCAGATAACAATTCTCAAGGCCCTCAAAGGAAGTCTACTTCCAAACTGCTTCAGGTTGCAAAAATAACGTGAGACATCAAAGATTATTGTCATAACAAAAATGAGGATGCAATTGTCCTCTAGTGTGAATGGGGTTTGCATGAACCACTCTTCGGCACCCCTGGGAGCACTTGGGACGGGGACGGCTGCACATCGGACCTCTGGCATGACAGCCAAGGGTAGTAGCTTTTGGCTGCATTGGGCCATTGTAGAAGAAAGGATAAACTCCATCTCATTCCCAGGAACTGTAAAATACCAGATTTCTCACAGTTATCTTGGCCTTTAACAGCTTCTAAGGCTAAAACAAACCTTGACTGACAACTAAAGTAATCATATAACACTTTTTGAGCATCTGAAGTGTAAAGTTCATTAGTTCTAAGGTCAGCATTTTAATGCAACAACCAAATTTTATTCACATCATCAGATGCGATCTGGAAGAGACAGTTGTTAACAACCAGGCGGCGGGGGGGATTCATGCTGCCATAACTAGTAAAATCAGTACCAGGCACTGAAAGAGCCCTGCCACATTTTTTCAACAAAATACACTAACCAAATAAAACAAAAATTTCCTGAGGATGTTATCATCCCAAAGAGCATTGTCCCAAGCTTTGGTGGGAGTTTTCACAGCAATTTTGAGGGGGAACTGCTGGAATATCAAGAGATACATCACTAGGTCATTTAAATGTTATTTTTCTATAGTTGTCATTTACACGTAAATGAAATCTAAAAGCACTGCTTCAGACCTTGTGGGAAGATGCCATTTAGAGGAAAGACAGGAAGACTGATCTTTGTGTTTAACCAAATGTTAAATATTTTTTATTTTACTCACCTGCACACTAAGATGAATCCATTCCTTCACAAGAATTCTCCCCAGTGTCATTACTTTTATTGGAGGCTGCAAACCATTTACTGTGCGATAATAAAACATGGTCTCTTTCTCGGATATTGTAAGTTTGAACACAATCTGCCCATCCGCTGTCTTTTCTATAACACACCTTAGGAAACAACCAGAAGAGAGAAAAGGTCAGCATCCAACCAAAAGACATGCTAAGGCATTGTGCAGTTACAGTGGTGTGAAAATAACCCCAAACTCCACTCAGAGGGGCACCCCGGTGAGTAAGTGCCTGAATGTCCTTATATTAAGAGCAGGTTTTATTCCAATTAAGAAGCCCTTTTATTTCAATAAAAAATAGAATTCTTATTTACAATATATTCCCCAGAACTTCAACACCCTTTATTAGAGATTCGTGATGGGAACGAAAGTGCTTGAATCATCCAGCAAAACCAACATTTAGCCTGTTGGCTCATTAGTCTTCTGCTATTTCTTTTATAGGAAGTGGCACAAGACACTATGTCCTGCTTGGGGATTGAGTCATCTGTGCAAATCTTTTTTTTTTTTTAATAATGTAAAGAGAATTTAGTGTTCATAGAAGACTGGAAAGTGTTAGCCCTGAAGTCAGAATCGCTCTACTGAATTCCCATGATGAAATGGAGAATGGACAATTGCAATCTCTACTTCTTTCCTCATCAACTGGCCAGAAGCCAAAGCCAGGTCTGTAAGAGCTCTCCCCGGCCACACAGCCCAACTGAGCCACTGAGAGGACGTTGATGATCTCGGATGAAAGGTCTTACAATCTTCTAGAGACAACAGTGAAATAATATTTTGATAAAATAGAAGAACGTTCAGAAATTTCCTAGGTCTTATGTCAGGCCAATTACCAAGTTATTTCTTAAAAATCACTTCTATCCTCATCATAATGGCACACTTTTCCCATCCCTTTAAATCAACAAATGGTGTTCTTATAAATATTTATTTTCTATGTTAATTTATGTTTAATATAAATTTTCTTATGTTGATTGTATGATTGCATGTTTTGGGCCACTCTGTACCCAGTGAACAGAAAAAGCTATGAACCGAAACCTCATTCCTCTCTATCACATTTCAATTTAACGATTCAACTTCTTAGCAGAAGAGAGAATATGATGACTGCTTGCTAGCAGCCTCCTGAGTGGATTATTCTCAAAGATCTGCTATGTAAAGACAAATCTCACTGACATTAGCCATTAACATCTCCCCAAGTAACTAGCTCTTAAAGATGCTCATCAACCTGCATCTCACAAACAAGAACTCAACAGGAAGGAGAATTTCACCAGGTACTGGAGGAATCTGGGTCCCTTTCTTCACCCAGCTGCCTCCTACTCAGCTCAGGCATCTCCAGGACTATGCCTGATCCTGGAACCTTCTCTCTGGCTCAGGGTTGCTTAAGCGGCCTTCCTTGGTGCTCAGTTAACACACTGTGCTGCATTAGTAATGGCATGATGCATCTGTCTTCCCATTAGCTCATGAGTTTTCTCAGAACAGCAGAGCCAGGTATACAGCTGACCCTAAGAACCAAGGAATCAAAGACCAAATCGAGAAGAAGCAACATCAAAGAAACAAAGATAAGGTGAGGCCAAACAAGAACTATTGCTAAAGAGGTTTTCAAACTTTCCTTAAAGGTCACGTTTTCCACAAACTGTCCCTTCTCACTTGCATGTATTCTTTCCTGGAGGTGAAAATAAGTTTGGAGAACACTTACTAGTTACTATTTCATGGTTTTCCTATATTTTGTACATTTTTCTGGTGATAAAGTTATGAGGACAAGGATATTTTTAACACAGGCAAATAGGTTTAGTTGACAAAGTTTTTATAAAAAGTAGAAATATGGCTTTATAGAAATTCTACTGTGATTTTTTTTTAACCCTCCAGTGGATGGATATTTCTAAATCACTGGGATGAAAGAGAGGTCTCTTGACCCGCCCCTGCCCCACCCTTGCCTCCAGGTCTCCAGGTCTCAAACAACCGAAGAAGAGTTTGTCTCTACTCATTTTTCTTGAGTTTAAATCAACAAGTTTAAATTTGACCATTACTCAAGAATATATTTGCCAAATGCAGGCTTATTTTCCCAAGCTTACTGAAAATGCATTTCTTAATATGTTATTGATTATCTTCCTTGCTATTTTGTTTGCTTGTAAACATACTAGCTTTGGTAGATAATGAATGGGAGAGGAAGGTAGGTAGCAAAATATTTAGGAACTGGATTTATTCTGGTCCTGGATAAACAATAATTGGATAATCCATGCTTTGTTTGTTTTATTTATCTAGTGCAAACACCTCGAAATTCCCCCAATCCCCATAGTTATTTTAGTATTGAGAATGGAAATGACCTTGATGCATGGAACTCTCCAGACTATAAACCAAGTGCCACTGCCTCTATCAATACCCCTCTGTCTTATTTATACAAAACGATACCAATAGAAGAAGAGACTTATCCCATGGGGAAAAAAATTGGGGAAAAAATAATTTTTCCTAGCCATATTTGTCAACAATTTTTTAAGACTCTTTGGATACTCTTTACATAAACTGAGTAGGTTGGATTTATTGACATTTCAAACAGTAAAAAACAAAAAACAAAAAACAAAAAACAAAAAAAAAACAAGGTTTGCTTTTAGGGGAGATACAGAAATAGAGATAATGGTTTGTGATCATTTTTACTCCAAGTGAAGAAAAATGCCAACTTTCACTTGGCAAATTAAAACTAAACACCAAAGACATTTAAGTCATATTTGCTTATGAGATTATAAGACTTTTCTGGTTTGTTTCACAAGTTTTTAGGTATTTGGCCAACACTCTCAAACAAAGAAACTGTCAGAAAGGGACGAGCCAAAAGCCCGTACAGGAAGACAAAAGATAAGCAAAAAATGCCTCCAAACTTCCTTACTTATTCAAATCTCCAGATTGGCTCTAAAAACTGAGAGAAAACACATGGGAAGTCAGTTTTAGAAACTGTTACAGAATGAAAAACAGGTGATTATATAGACTAACAAAAAATAATGTTAAGGAAGCCCCAGTCCAAACTCACCAAAGGCATTTCTACTGTGATCAATGGCATAAAAGCTTCTGGGAATCTTCCATGCTTACCTATATATTTCCTAACAGAAAACACCACAAGGTAAAGCACCAAATGCTGTTATCTTTTCAGAGTTAGAGGATTATTCATTTATTCAACTTATATGATTGGGCATCTTCCATGAGTCAAACAAACATCTCTTCCTGGGAAAATAAGAATGAATAAAACACAGTCCTAAGCCCTTGGAGAACTATCTGCCTAATGAAAATTCTCTACTCGGGGCTCCTGGGTGGCTCAGTTGTTAAGCGTCTGCCTTTGGCTCAGGTCATGATCCCAGGGTCCTGGGATTGAGCCCTGCATCAGGCTCCCTGCTCTGTGGGAAGCCTGCTTCTCCCTCTCCTGCTCGACCTGCTTGTGTTCCTCCTCGCGCTGTGTCTCTCTCTGTCAAATAAATAAAATCTTTTTTTTAAAAAAAGAAAATTTTCTACCCTGGCAGGAGCAGGTTGTTTATAAAAATCTAGATCAGAACTTAGAAAATATCAGTTATTTGTACTACTAGCCCCTATACCTTCAAACTCACACTGAGCCTGGCTGAGCCTCTAAGACCAAAGTTTTCGCTCAATGGCTGGAAAATAAATGAGCCGTGGAAACAGATCTGCCTGCAATGAAACTATTCAACATATTCTTTTTTGAGGGCTCACTTCATCCATGAAAGAGAGAAAAAATTCTAAATTTAGTGGGGAAAGGTTGGAATGTAAACCTGAACAGGAAGACTATAACACGGGAGTTGATCTTCAATCTCATGAATTCCAGGGTTAGCCTTCATTTCTAGTTCAGAATTCACGTTGCAATAATCTTCACTACGGATGGTCCAAGACCCTAGGAAAGCTTACACTCCCTCTACTACTTACATTACACTTCCTCGCTCAGGTTTCAACCACACAGCTAAAGTAAATGATGCCGCCAGCCTCGGAGAAGGAGGAGAAGAAAAGCAATTCTTGTGATTTCCAAAAATAAAGCTTGTGGAATTGCTCTGGCAGTTGGGACACAGATCATGCTTGTCTATTGTGACGCAGCTCCCAAGGCCTGTGGAGAACAGGGCAGTGTAGACGGCAGGTGAAGATCTATAGGGGCAATCTTGAATGCAAAGCCGCTGGGTACAGAACCCAAGACCCGTAGCAACAGCAGAGCTATGACAAAATGTGCTTCGGTCTGGGAGTCCACACGTCGCTTGGGTTGGCACAAGTGACACGTTCTTGAAAGCTCCCACATTCTCCAGCCTTGGGAAGAGACCCTGAGAGTCAGCCAAGGAGATGGCAGCGAAATACGCAAAGAGCAAGGTTTCTGGGATGTGGGTCAAGAAGCGGAAGCCCAGGGAAAGAGCCAGGCAATGCATGTTTACAAAAAAAGCACGCTCCTCCTGGTGAAACATTCCTAAATAAATAATAAGGCCAATGTCGCTCGCCAGCCACGCTCTGAAGCAGGGCACCTTAAGTAACGTTGAGATACTCCATTTTCCAGAAACCGCAGATACGTTTTCACGCTGAGGTAATACCAGAGACGTCCTTAGCAAAGGTGAGGACATGAGAAGCAGCTGGTGTCTGAGAAGCAAAAACAAAGTGTCAAGCAAAAGCTGCTACATCTTTAAAGTTTAAGTTCATCCAAAGCCTGAGGACTTTGAGCCCCTGACAAGAAACATTATTGAACTTCTCAAAGAAAAAACATCCAGAGGAAAACACTTTTTCTTTTGGTAACTGTCTTCCTTTTGTGGGGCAAATCAGACTCGAAGAGTCCACAGGACAACCAGCTTTATATATATACGCAGATACATATATATTTTTGTGCCTATATTTCACCACACAGTAATTTCAGATGACTACTTTACCCCGGGGAATTAGCACTATCTACTTAGCAAGGAAAAGAATTGCATAGATTTTCTTTACACATACACCTTATGTTGTAGCACACAGCTAACTTACAGATGTCCGAAATAAAGCTGGCAAAGCGTTTTGGGCCTTTCCCCCCAACCCAGCATGTGCAGCAACTTTAAGCTCACAGTAAAGCTGATTAGAAACCCAACACCATCTGTCCTATGCCTTAGTATTTAGCAAACGTTTGTGTTCGTATTTCCTCATATGACTACTTATTTGTAGGTTAAATATGGACCCCTAATACTGTGTAAGTAATTGTATTGATAAATAAGCTGAATTACCATTTCTTTATTGCATTTCAACCAGTCCCCTCAGTGTGACAAATGGCTCTTCACAGGACCACTGTCCCCTGTTGCCTGGCAACGCTGCGGTAACCCCCGGGTTACTCTCAGCAAATAGGCCACAGCAGCAGGAACGCTGCAAGGAAGACGTGGGTGCCCAAGGAGAGTATCTTGCACGACAAACACTTGGTTACCTGAAACTCAGCGCAGTCAGCTTCGTGGCCCGCCTGGAACTGAGCTCCCCAAGCTTTCAGCAGGTGCTTCAAGCAGTGGGAGGGACCTGGATGGGGCCAGGCATGCATAATTTTAAAGTAGCAGTACACCTATCCTATAATCCCTTTGTGCCCCTCCCCCTTCCCCCGCTTTCACGCGCCTCAATCCATTTAATCATGGAATCAAAATGATCTGCCACTATTAGACAGTAACACAAGGAGTAATTTCTAGTGCTCTCTCTCTCTTTTCTGGGGAGCAAAATGGAATTCTAAACCTTAATACATTGACACCCTAGAAGCTTGGTCTGTGGATGTAAGTTTCTGTTGTTGGCCTTCTTTGCCCCTGGAGACCCTCTTCTAAGTAGCCATTTCTCTATATCATGAGGAGCAGCTGATGTTCTTTCTAAATGTTGCATTTGGAAATGGGAGATTTTAATTCAACCACAGGAGCAGTTGGATTGTTGACATTTTAGCTGCCTAACTGGATATGAATATGTGTATACTTATGAGTGCCTGTTTGACGTCAATTCTATCGAGACTCTCTCTTTTCTACTATCTGGGATATCTCATCCTAGATGAGAAATATCCTAAAGCAACTGATAACTTCTATCGCTCCATTCTTATCTCATAAATGGAAAACTTGTTTGGGAAACAACTAGTCCATTGTGGTTCTGTTTCCTCTAAGTTATCTTATTTAGAGAAATGTTTAGAAATGAGAGAAATGTTTTGCTGTGTTTCTTGTTGGTAAGGCAGCCAGAGATAAACCCCAAGTGTCATCTCTTCAACTTCCTTTACTTTCTCTTCAATGAGAGATCTGGAAACCATAACCTTTTATATATCAACTTAATCAGAACTAGGTGCTTCTAGAGGAAACATTCATCTCTTGTCAAAATATCCTATTTTCTACTTGTTGATTATTACAATCTTGCAAGGGCAACTTTCATTAAAAACGAATTCTAATTAAGACCAGCTAATAGGTAGGGTCTTGGGAATTTGGGAAAATTGGAAATAGATACATAGGATGCAGTGAATTAGACAGATGCATCATTCAGACCTGTTACAAAACACACACGTTTGTCTTTAAACAATTTAACCAATCACTGGCTTCCCCTTATGCCTTGTGAATCCAAGGCCTAACTTTTTAAATTGTGTAACTACAGTATATCTTTTGGGTCACCATTCTGGGGATAAGAATACTTCTACCACATAACTGCTGCTTTGTAGTAGGAAGTCATGACTCAAAATAGACAATCTAAGATTAGCGATTCTGCTCCACATTCTGAAATTCTGCCTGTAATTTGCAAAGGCAGACAATGGATTGACACATCCCTCAACTTTTGCAGTTCGGTCCTATCAATCCTGAGGACACATCTGGTAAATGAATTGGGCACCAACAGTCCCACCACCCCTATAACTGCTTGAGAAATAAGTAGAGAAAAAATAAAAGTGTACAGGAGGGAAGTTCAGCTAAACATGTAGCTGTAAGCTTTTCTTTTCTTTTCTTTTCTTTTTTTTTCATCTATTTTGGATCAACTTGGCTGAGGTTGGATGGTCTGATTTGGCCTCACTATTTCAACTAGCAGTTGACTTGACAGTCTTGAGAGTCTAATCCTGGGCTCATTGTGATAGTAGCAGAAAAATTCCCAGCAACATAATATGGGAGGCTGCCAGGTGCAAGGACTTTTCATGCCTCCGCTGGCATCACATATGCTGATGTCCCGTTGGCCAGAGCAAGTCATATGACCAAGCCCAGCCTCGGGGGGCTATAAAATAGACTCCATGCTTCAAAGAAGGAATGGCAAAGTCACATTGCAAAGGGTGAAAAACATACAGAATGGAAAGAGTTTGTGACCATTTTGTGATCGACCACAGAGTTGCTAGCAATTTCTCTTCCTAGCTGTAAAGACATCATGTCACATTGAATCGTTATTTCCTTATTCTGAAAAAAGTCAAGAAAATGGGGTTTTAGTTAGACAACTCTAAGCAAGTTCATACTCATTCTGGAAAAACTTACTGTAATAAGCTTAGTTTTTCAAGCACTTGAGAGAAAGTTTTAATGGGCAAAATCAAGATGTATTTCCTATTCCTGGGTTTTTAGTACCCATGGAATTCCTATTAAAATTGTTGAACTTCTGGCATAACTGACCAAGGAAAAATAATAGATGTATAATAAATATTGGGTATGAAAATACAGGCATAAACTAGGTATAACCGGATTATAAATATAAGAAAATAATTGTAGGCAATTTTATGAGAATTGAACTTGAATTCTTAGACAAATCAGACAAATTCCTAAGCACATTTCTAACCTAAGTTAATTCGGGAAGACAACAAGAAACAACTCGAATTAAATTAATTCTAATTTTTACAAACACTCTTAGAAATGGAATAAAAGAGAATATTTCCCAATTTATTTTATGAGGCTAGTATAACTGATATACATATTAAAGAAAAAACAGACAGGAGAATATAAAAAAGAAAAATTATAGGCCATTCTCACTAAGGTACATAAACTCAAAAAAAAAATCTGAATAAAACGTAAGCAAATTGAATCCAGAAATGTACAAAAAGATTAAATCTCCTGACCAAGTTGGGTTCATTTCAGAATTACAAAATTTACCTGAACTTAAAAACATATCAATATAATTCACCATAAAAAATATATTAAAGAAAAAACTATGTGATATTTTTGGGACCAAAATTCTTAAGAAAAGATTATTAATTTAGAACCAAAACTATTTATTTAGAACCAAAACCCTTTTACTAAACTAAAAACATAACTTGACATAGGTTTAGCACTTTTGTAAAATCAGAAGTAGAATAAGGACATGCACCATCACTGCCTCTATTAAATATTTCACTAGCCAGTGCACTGAAATAAGGAAATAAATACTGAGGTAAGTACCAAAGTGATTATCAAATGTGCTCTCTCTATATATATAACACAATCTAAAGACAAATATTTGACCTAAGTTCTAGAGAGAAGATATACATATGATTCATGCTGTTCCTCAGTTTCTGGGGCTCTCTTTTTTTCTAGGCACATTCTATTTGACCCCTTGTCAAGTCAGAGGTGGTCGGTCACGTGACATGCTTTAGCTAATGAAATATGAGCAGTGACATGTGCCATTACCCGGGTAAAGCTACAAGTAGCCGTGTGCAATTTACTATGTTTGCTCATTCTCTCTTTCACTCTGCCATGTCCAGATGGTGCTGCTCTGTCGGCCTCTTTCCCTGGCTGGGAAGACATAGATCAGAGTCCCCCCTGCCAACCCTGTTGAACATGTAGCATGTGTGAGAAATAAACTTTTATTGTTTAAAGGAACTTTTTTGAAATTTTGGTCTTCTTTACTACTGCAGAATAATTTAACCCAATCTGATATAAAGATCAATGGACAAAAATCAATTGCACTTGTCTATGCCAGTTAAAGAATGAAATAAGCAAACTAGAAAATGTAACTAGTCAAACGATGCTATTTATATTATAAGGTACTTAGGAAGAAATCTAAAAAGTGCATTACTACTATGAAAAAAAAAACAGCTAAGCTTTATTGATTAACATTTAAGAGACCTAAAACAAAGGGAGAGATAGACTATGTTCTTGGAATAAATGACTATCATAAAGATTACATTTTTTGTATGGTAATCTATTAATCCAATGCAATTCCTATAAAAATCACAACACAGTTATTTACGGAACTTGACAAACTAACCCTAGAGTGTATAAAGAAGAACAAAAAACTACAGTATCCAAGGCGTTGCCGAAGTAGAAGGCAACAAGAACCTGTCTTTGCTAACAGATTTCAAGACATATATTAAAGCCATATAAATTAGGAGAGTGTAACATTAGTGCAAAGATGGGGGGAAAATCCAACAGAAACACAAAGAACCACAAGAAAATACATACCTATAAGAACTTATATTTGTTTCTGCATATCATTAGGAAAAAGGCAAGTGAGTAAGAGTTGCAAG